TGTTTGTATGTTTGTTACCTGTTCCTTATTTTTATTAAAATAATATATTACAAAAAAAAATCTACCATACTTTAGTTAGTATATGTATATATCGTTTCCTTCATTTTTTTAATACATGCAAGCTGCTGCTAGGAAAATATATAATTTTTGCATACTACATAATATTAATTTAACAGTATACAGTACGGTAAGCTAACACATAGTACTGTACTATGTATTATGGTACAGTTGACAACCCTAGTCCTCGTGCGTTCACGAGCTGTCTCTGTGCACCAAATGGCCAACGCGTCACCGTCAAATTCGTGCCAAATTCACTACACTGGAACATATTATTACGTAATTTTTGGAGTAATTTTTATATTTATTTACTAGTATTTAGCCGCTACTTTGTCCGCGTGATCGTAAAACAAAAAGTGGCCTGTTTCTCCATCACAAATATTATATTTTTGCTAAATTTCTTGAAGATTGGTTAAGTAGTTAAAGCGACATGAGGTTGTCGTTGTCGTCATATCATCCTTTAACTGCCCACTGCTAAACATAGCTTCCCCCATAAGGGGGTTTTACCAACCCACCTGCCATGCTTGGCAGGTGGGTTGGTAACTGCAGTTTGGCTTTTGGCGATGTTTTAATAGGGACGCTGCTGCCCATGCCTCCACCATAAGCTCCCTCAGTCGCCTCTTACGACCCCCACAGGAAAGGAAGGGTTGGCCTATTTTATATCCGGGACAACACGGCGGGACAAGTAGTTAGGAAGGAAAGACAAACTTTCATATAATGTTAAGGATTTAAACTTTATTGACACAATAAAATGTATTACAGTATTGATCTTAATGCTAATGAAATTTTCTACCAGGCATGTTTGGCATGTGCAGAGATACTGGTGATGGCTCCATTTATGGAATTATTAGTTATATCCCGCGGTTTCGCACGTGTGAATTAGTACACAAAATATCTTATGCACTGTTTTTTTAAAGGATGATAATGGAATGGTAGCTCCGCCTGCGCTAAAGGTATACGCTGGCGGGGTGAGAATAAAAAGACATGTCAGTTAGCCCATCGTGATGAATACACTTGGGATTCAGCACGATGGTTTTCAGGAAGGACCACGTGGAGTTTGATGTGACAGGGTATATTGCTAGCAATGGGATTGGTAGTCCACATTGCTAACAATATGTGCCAATTTATAATATAACATATCCGTGTACCAAATTTCGTACAAAATCTCACATCTCGCTGGCAGGCGATGTTACCATTCCATTATCATCCATCTGAATAAAACCTAATTACTTCTTACTAATATAATAAAATTCTCTTTAATTGACGTCTGTATTGTATAGGAGACATTTAAAAATAAAATTTCAGGAGTCCTAAGTAATAAAAGACAAAACAATAATTTTTTAAAATTTTGTCTGTCTGAATGTTTATTCTACCAAATTGGATTTGGTTTTACACTTGTGTTTCTAATGGTCTACTAACGTAAAATCTGGTGTATGTTTCATTTTGATACGCTATCTAGAAGGGATCCCATTTTGTTTTTCTAGTTTTTGAAATCTACATTAATAAAGTAGCGACCAAAAAGATATCCTAAATTTAACCTCAGAACAAAAAAAAGAACAGTTTTTATCGTAATATCAAAATTAACATTAATCCAGTTGTACCATCAGGCCACAGTGTTCTCACAATTTTATTTGGTATAAAAAGCTAACTAGAATATAACATATTAGGTAGCCTAGTATAGCGTATGTTGTCATGTACAAGACGGCGAAGCACAGTATATTTATATTATTTCCGTCATCCTCTAGCGACCGACTATAATAGATGTATGGCTCATTGCAGCAGAGACGTAGGCGAGACAGGTATGAATGCTGTAACGAAAATGTGAGATGACACCGTCCCAGATGTTGTCATATTATAAAAAAATATATATTTATAGTTTAAGATAATTAAATGTCAGCGATTTAATTTACTAAATCACGCCTGATCAAGTTTCCGTCAGCTTGGGTACCTTTAGCTCACTCGTATTTCTATTTATTTATTTATATATTTATTCTTTATTGTACACAAACAAACGGTACAAACGGTACAAAAGGCATAAAGCATTTGTGCTTGCATGGCTATATTTCGATTTGAAAGGTGGGAGATGGCATAGAAATGGGGGGGAGGATTGTTAATAATGCGGACTGCCAGTTCCATTGCTAGCAATATACCCAGCCAGGTCGTCCTCCACATGGTCCCTCTTGGAAACCATCGTGCTGAATTCATCACGATGGTCTAACTGATCTGCTTTTTCATCCTCCTCTATCATCCCTCACTGGTGCCCCGTCAGCGTATACCGTTAGCACGGGTGGGGTTAATATTACATTATCATCAATTAAAAAAAAGGCAGAGAAATTAAAGGGTAAGGATGCATAAATTCATAGTACTCAGGAATGGCAATGCGTAGAGGTATGGGCATCACAGTGTATTCTGTGACGTTAACATTTGCTGCTTATATCTATAGGCGACGGTTACCATTTTCCATTTACCAGTTACCATTTAGGTGGGCTGTCAGTTTCTTTGCCTTTATAAGTATTTTAGAAAATGTCAAAATCAACTGTCATTGATTTTATAGCATATATCTATCCGGTTCGAAGGTCCAGTTTGAGCACGAATCTAAGAATAATTGGGCCATAGTTACTTATTAGTGCTGTTAGTCGTATATGATAAGACTTGCGTTGCTAAGTAAGAGTTAAATGTCTATGAGTTATTTATTTTAATCTAAAGAAAATACGCAACTAACGCTGTATATTATAGAAGTTTCGTGAACGCAAATACTTTAGGAATCTGCTCTTGACCGGTACGGTGACAAATATTCCTGTGTTGACTGTATTGCGTAGTATTTAGTGGATCCATCCGGTTCGAAGGATCAATTCGACCACGGAACTAAGAATAACTAGGTCATAGCTAGCTAGCTATTGATACTAGTCGTAGTTTTTTATGCTACAATGGTGCCCAACAAGAATGCGGTTTATCTGATGATGAACGGATACCGTAGCCTACGGAAAGTCTACAATACTAGGGGTGCCACACGTATGTTGTTGACCCTGAAGAAACTTTATTACGCCCCTTTTGAAGAACTATAATTCAATTGAAAAAATATACGTTGCTAATGTAATTTATAATACATTACCATCCACGATTGTTGCTTGATCGCATTCAGTGAGTGATTTATTTTAATCTTCGGAAACTACGTAAGCAGCGCACGCCCTATATTACACTGGTCACGTGAACGCAAAAAAATGTGTGAAGTAACACCGTACAGCTGTCAAGCAACCGAATCCTTTGTTCCACTTTCCAGTATTTACCATCGCATCATAGATAAGCATCTGTGCGGTGTCGAGCTATTTAGGGCGAGTTCCGTGTTGATATTTAGAGGTCACTGGTGCTAGTAGTTGTACGTGTCGACTCGCCATTAGACAATGTGTAAAGTTTGTAGAAGAAAGCGATAAGGACTTAATAGTGCATAGTCCTGAATAAATTATCTTGGTGCTATCACAGCCTCATTTAGCTGCAAAGCAAGTAAACTTAAAACTAAGTAAACTAAAAAATAACAATTATGATCAAGCACTTTAGGTAACACCTCTGTTACCTAAAGTGCTTGATCATAATTGTTATTTTTTTTTTATTGTAGTTTAGTAGCTTCGGTAGTTTCGATTCGGTAAGTAGCTAAGATGAGGTTCCCAAGCCTCATTCTAGCTATTGGATATGAGCGACGAGGCTGAATAGACGATTCTCCCAATGGGCTCTCGCACTTTGGGAGTCTCGTCTGTTATCATTTTCTTGAGAAATTACATCCCTTATTTTATCACATGTATTTATTTTATGTATGCAGTTGTCTGATTTATCGAATATTCCAGAAATATTTAGTAGCTAGATTATAACATTTAGTCTTTTCTATATTGTTCTACGATAGACTCGTGAATATATATGTAGACGCTTATATTTGGCAGGAAGCGAACCTATAGCAAATGGGTTGTGAGTCCCTTCGTTAAACCGGGCAGGGGGAAGTATACCTTATCAAGTCGACTTTCTCATGGTCCTGGAATTCTTTGTTGGTGAATTCTTCACTATGGGCTTTATGATCCTGCTTAATCTTCATTTATCATCATATACTGATTTTTTTATACAACTTAGAATGGCAAACAAGCTGACGGCCCACCTGATGGAAAGCGGTAACCGTCGCCTATAGACATAAGCAGTATCATGGACATAACAGAGTATACTGTTTCACCATTGATACCCCCAATGCGTTGCCATCCCTGAGGACTCAGGTGTTATTCCTCTGTACCATGTAAATTCTCGCCATGTCTCACCATTCAAACTGAAACACAGCCATGCAAACACAACTGCTTTACGGTTGAAACATGAATGGGACACAAATACCCAAGCGACTTTTGTACAAAGTCTCCCTGCTGTTTCTTACTAGATATTTATTTTTTTATTTGTGTCTTATTTCATTTTTTTATGCAACTTACAATGGCAAACACGCTGACGGCCCACCTGATGAAAAGTGGTAACCGTCGCCTTTAAACATGAGCAGTACCATGGACATAACAGAATATACTGTTTCGCCCATGATACTCTCCATGCGTTGCCATTCCTGAGGACTCAGATGTTATTCCTCTGTACCATGTAAATTCTCGCCATATCTCACCATTAAAACTGAAACACAGCCATGCAAACACAACTGCTTTACAGTTGAAACACGAATGGGACAGTGGTATCCAAGCAAACGACTTTTGTACAAAGTCTCCCTCTGGTGATGCCGCGCCAACGCGTACCGATAGCGCTGGCGGGATTATCATTTCATTTTTATCCCATAAAAAACTTGTATATAATTGCAGTTATTACTTATAGGACGGCACATATACTGACGCACGTGAGAATGCACGCGATGTATGCACGAGCGGCTAGTAAAAAAGTACCAGCTTGTGATTCAAATGGTTTGTCTCTTGTTGCAGGTGATGTTGGGTGGGGCTGCGTCGCCAGGCGGCGACGATGTGCTCATCGTTACCGTGGTTGCCGACGAACATGGATATGGGATGAAGGTGTCCGGTAAGTTGACTTTTTTTATGTTAAAAGATGTTAGATGACCATGTAGTTCACCTTGGTAAGTGATTGCTCATAGATACTCCCGAGGGTATTATCTAATTGACAACGAAAAGGTGGAAAATATTTTGGGTACATAACACTTTTTCGAAAATAGGCCATCCGTTACCTTAATGAATTATGACTTGGAAGTGTTTTTTTTTTGCAAACGTATCATCATCATCATCATCATACCATCCTTTAACTGTCCACTGCTGAACATAAGCCTCCCCTTTGGGGGTTCTGCCAGTAGTTGCCACGCTTGGCAGGCGAATTAGTAACCGCAGATAAGCTTTAGATATGATTTATAGATTTCTTTTTTTTTTTTTTTGTATAAATTGAATTTTTTTCAAAAACACTTAAAAATTCTTTCCAATTAGAAAGAAACTTAAAAAATAGAGTAATTACCAGTTGGAAATTACTCTTTTTTTGAGTTGATTGACGGTGTTTTTGATAATTATATGTAAACGTCCATTCCATAATCGATTCATAATAAAGAAGTTTAAATCATATCAGTTTGTTTCTTTCATCTGACTAACGACCGTTCCGAACATTTGCATCGCCATACGAAGGTAAGGACGTTTGTCCCATTATACTCGTATTGGTTCGGCGCAGTATGTTTACATTGAAAATAATTATATTGTATATGCATTTAAAATTAAACATGTGGAATTCCGCAGTGTATGTGGTCAGATTTCGTAGTAATTGTGGTACCTACTTGCAACATACACGAACATATTCTCACGTGCATGTTTCCAAGAAAGGAGAATTTGCCTTCCTCGTGCTTCTATCAAACGTTTGGAATGCAACGTAGCAACAGTGAACTTATTGCAATTAGAATTTCTCAAATTTTGTCAAACGTATTAAGTTACATCTTTTTTTTTATACCACTCAGTTGGCAATCGAGCATACGGTCCAGCTGATGGTAAATGATTGCCGTAGCCTGCAATACCAGGGCCATTACGCGTGCGTTGCCAACCCTGAAACTTGTTTTTTTTTTGAAGAGTCCCATGCTATAGTCTCTTGGAATAACCTCGATAGGAAGCTCATTTCGTAACCAATACCGTCCGTCGATTTATACACATTTTGTCAGACATTTTTTATCCAATGTTACAAATAGCGAGCCGATACCGTCCGCTGCTGCTGTGACTGTAGTTTGTTTAGCGGCAGTTAACTATCAATGATTCCTAATTAAAATTGGACAAAATTTTACAAGAGCCCTAAAACATGAAGATGAAACATGAAGTCAATAAATGTAAACTGTTAATTAGTTTTATTATCACTTTTCAATGTATTGATAACAAAAATATTTTTCATGTAACAATTTAATTGACTATTTTTTTATATCTTGGGTTACATTATTGCAATTTTCGTAGAATGATTATTTTTTTTTTTTAAATAATATTTAGTCTATGTTACTCCCTAATAATTTCTAACAATATTTATTTATTTACTACATCAACTAGATGAGGTTTACAGTCTCCCAATACGCTCACCCGGGAATGTAGGTTTCTATACGTTAAAGGAGTTTTAAAATCGATTGAATAATTTTCGAATTTATCCTAACAAACAAATATTATATATATATTTAATTTTTATATATTTTTAATTTGTAAAAGATGCTTTTTTAGTTATACAGTACTATTATATCTACTTGTACAACAATTAGTCCATTACCCTAAGGTTGTCTTGAAAAGATTGCTCTCAGCAATAAGACCGCCTTACTGTACTTATACAATTGTATCGTTGTGTTTGTAAATTGTCTTGCTTATTTCCTATATTGTATAATGCAAATAAAGTATACTCATTCATTCATTCATACATAAAATAAAATCTGTCGTCTTTATGTTATTAGTATAGTTAGAAAATAAGATATTATGTGAGATAATTATGTAAATATTGATTTATAAACATTCCAGGTGACAACCCCGTATACGTGCAGTCGGTGAAGGAGAATGGTGCGGCGTGGCGCGCCGGGCTCCGCGCCGGCGACCGCATCCTCTGCGTGGACGCGGTGCCCGTGCACAACCACACGCATCAGCAGGTCGTGCAGATGATACGAGGTACCTACCTTTGATCAGGGTCGTCATTTTTATACCACAAACGTGGCAAACAAGCATACAGCCCGTCTGATGGTATACGGTCACTGTAGCCTGTGGACGCCAGGGGGGAAAGGGATTGTTAGTAATCCGGATTAGCAGCCCCATTACTAGCAATATACTCTGTCACGTCGACTTCCACGTGGTCCCCCTTGAAAACCATTGTGCTATGCATACACTGACTGTATTCGATACATATATCTAGGGGTTACCATGGGATTTTATTAAAAAAAAAACTTTTAGCCGTATATTTTGTGTGTAACCGCAAAATTACCGCTACGTCTATTGATAAAGAACTTAAAGTTTATTCATATTTGATTACAAAAAGAAATGTGAAAAAACGTTGACAAACCACCTAATGGAAAGTGGTAACCTTCGCACATGAATACTGATGTTGACATTACAGAAAACTGTGTCCTAAAGTATTTATTATGATGATTATGAGGGAAATCATGGGTATCTTAGAGTCTAATACATCCATGACTTCCTCATGCGTTGCTGTTCCTGAAGTTTTAAAAAGTTTCGGTGTATATTGCTTGTGTCATCATTTCACCCGTTACTGTCTAATGTAGAACATAAGCCTTCCCCATAAGGGGAGTTTTGCCAGTAGTTGCGACGCTTGGCAGGCGGGTAGGCAACCGCAGTTAGGCTTTTAAAGATTTTTTAAGAGGGACGCTGCTGCCCATATCTTTACCATTACCAAGTTCTTTTAGTCGCCTCTTACGACACCCACAGGAATGGAAGAGGTCACCTATTCTATGCCGGGACCACACGGATTTATTTCATGTATATGAAAATACAAATTTACTACCAAAGTTCTCGATAAAGAACTATAGTTCATTCGCATGTTTTGAGTGCGTGGCGCACAATACAACCACCGTGCCGCCTCTACATTTTTAAATCTACTATTACAAATATTAGACTTGCTGAGTTACCAGTAAAATTATTGTTTTAATTTATTCTAATCAGCTTTTTAACATGTTTCAGCAAACAAGAAGACCGTCCTCACAGTACAACAGAACACCTCGCGCCATAAAAGACCCATCACAGCACCGTTTCCCGTCAATGTAAGTTTTTTTTTTAATGGCAATTCCTCTTGCTTTTGGTATACGCTGTCGAGGTATCAGTTAGATGATAAACAATAATTAGAATAGTGTTCCACAAAAAGAAAACGTTATTGTGCTAAAACCAGTTTGTACAAAAGTCGATTGCTTGGGTACCTCTGACCCATTCGTGTTTCTACCGTGAAGCATTTGTGTTGTATGGCCGTGTTTCGGTTTAAAGGTTGGGATATGGCGTGAATTTACACGGTACAGAGGAATAACACCTGAGTCCTCAGGAATGGCAACGCATAGGGGGTATCATGGGCGAAACAGTATACTCTGTTATGTCCATGGTACTGCTCATGTCTATAGGCGACGGTTACCACTTTCCATCAGGTCGGCCGTCAGCTTGTTTGTCATTCTTAGTTGTATAGAAAAAAATGATTGTATTTTAAGTTTACGGTTGGGACTTAACGTGACGCGATAAAAAAACGCGAACGCAACATGTGTAAACAACACGAGAGTTATTAATTAATATTCTAAGACATAAATACTACATATCAATAATTACTAGTACCGCATTCGAGTATTCTGACACTTCCCTATGGTTGACTGGGAGAGAATGCTTTTAGCATTAAGTCCGCCATGTACACATATATGTACTAATGAATAAATAAATAAATAGTCAGTGTTATGGTGTGAACGCTCTTCACTTGACCTAGACATTTCGCGCTACACCTTGTAATCGAAGAGCAAACAAAACTTGTCTTAGTTCGATCACGGTTAGCCGATTGTTTGCATCGAACGTTGCACAATGAGTTTGCACAGTTTTGTTTTTCACTCGAAGCGTGTAATGTATATGCAAAGAATGTATCCGCAGTTGTATAAGTCCAAATAAGACTTTTATTTTTTACTGGTTTTTGCCCGCAACTTCGCGTGGGTTTTGGAAGTATGCAGTCATTTCTGTATGGCATGTCGAGATGAATTATACACTAGATTTTAAGTTTGTCCTTTACGACCACAATTATATTCAATTTAATTATTGCGTGATGCAGGAGCAAACACAGACAAATAGACAAAAATAAAAAACAGAATTGGCTTCTACTGTACTGCTCTTCGTCATTATCCTATCAGCCCTTAACTATCTATTGTTGGACATATGCCTCCCTTGGGAGGTCTTGCTAGTAGTTGCCACGCTTGGCAGCGAATTGGCAATCGCAGTTAGGCTGTTGGTGATCTTTTAAAATGGGCGCTGCTGCTTATCCCTCGTCCATTAAGTGCCCTTAGCTGCCTATTATGATACCCATGGGAAAGGAAAGGGTACTGTTCTGCCTTTATTAAAACCTTAATTAAATCCATTTAGGTTTTAATAAGAGCTAAATTGATCGGTAAACCTGTCTTTTTTTTTTATTTTTTTTTATACAACTTAGAATGGCAAACAAGCTGACGGCCCACCTTATAGAAAATAGTAACCGTCGCCTATAGACATGAGCAGTACCATGGACATAACAGAGTATACTGTTTCGCCCATTATACCCCCCATGCGTTGCCATTCCTGAGGACTCGGATGTTATTCCTCTGTACCCTGTAATGTAATGTAAACGAATGGAATAGTAATTCCACTTTTGTTACGATATAAACTGACGGGCACCAGTAAGGGATAACAGGTGAGGACTAAGCAGTTCAGTTGGGTCATGATGACGAATTCAACAAACCAATCACGATGGTTTCTAGGGGATATTGTGTGGAGGTAGACCTGATAGAGTATATTGCTAGCAAATGTTAGACACCAAATGAAGAAACAGTATGCTTGTGGTATTTCTATTAAGAAGTCATGTTTAATTATGCAAAATGTTCTGACTTCTGATCTCTTACGATTCCAGCCAGAAAAGCAGCGGCAGCTGGAGGTCTCCAAAGTGGAGACCATGCAGCGGATGCTCGACGAGGATCAAGTGTACATCAAACAGTTGCGCCGTAAGTTGTCTATGTAAATAAATAAATACCACTGCGCATGTGCACAGTGCCACCTATTATGAAACTAAGCAGGGCTTGTATTATTTTATGAATATGAAGTTGGTGATAGTCGTTTTATCCACTCATAATATTTTTTTGTTATTAACTTAATTTTTATTTGAAAAAAAAAAGGAAAAATATATTTATGAAAATTTAAAACATCCCATCAAAAATATAAAATGTAAAAGAAAAATGCTAAGCAAGCTTTGCAACGCAGTTCTTTCGCTCCAAAAAGTAGTTAGATCTCATGTAAAATCAACAACTTTGTTACTTTAGTTAGTGTCTATGGAATAAGTGTTTTTTTTTTAATGTAGGTGTTAGATAATGAATTATTGGTCAATCAATAAGTCTAAATCAATAAATATTTTCTTTTTTCTACATACTGTCAAAAATAATGTTTTTTTTTTTAATATAATTAAGTTATAAAATGTTTCAAAGTATAAATTATTAATATTACAGTTGAACTATCAAAAGTGCCGGATGTAAGGAAACAGGCACAGTTGGAGCTGGCTGAGCAGAGGTGCATCAAATTGAAACACGAGATCGACGTCATCAAAGCTGGACAGGTGAAAAATGCATCTTGTGTTCACGACAATAACGTTCAGGTATAGATTGGTAGCGAATATCAGATTTATACGATTCTGTCTAAGCAATTTATTATACAATACAATATTCTTGAAGTCGAAATAGTATCGGATAATATGTGCCATGCGTTTATATTTTTGTTTATTTCCATATGTGTCTATATTTGTCCATTTTTGTTTACACAAAAACGGTACAAATCTGATATTACAATTTTATACAACAAAAAATACATTGGCTTCACGTTGCCTTTTTCAAAAATTATTTAATAATATCAAAAGATTCTATTATAAAATTTTAATATTATTTAATCGATTAATTCGTTTAAAATGGCAGCCAGTGTACAAAACATTGTAGTTAGAACGTAAAGTTCGTATACACTTAATTGCAAAAATAGTATGTACTCGTACATAAATGTGTGTTATTTTATATTTATCACGTCATTATATTTTGCAACTGCAGTTGTTACTATTTTGCAGTCGTTTTTATTTCTCGTATAGCTCACTGTTTATTTAATCTCATATATTTGCAATTGCGGCACGAAAAATGTATTTCTAATATTTAAATTGTTAATTTAAACCGTAAGTTTTTATCCGCGTATCTGTTTCAGCTTTTATTGTTATTCGTTATATATCGATTGTTGGGTTTTAACACGCATTAAATAATAAGTAAATTTATAAATATTTATCCCATTCGATGCATCATCTACTATTAAAATTTATTACTTTAGTCGTAGATGACAGGTAGGACGTTTGAACTGAAATTATCAATTGTCATTACCCATAAAATTTCTTCAACTACCGTCACAAATCAAGTCGAAACGTTGATTCTTGTTTTTATCGTCAACAATTCGTGTTAAAATCAAACGAAACATATTTATAACATGTACTTAAAGCGAAAGCTTAGAAGTAACTGTTGATTTATTACAAATATTGTGTGAGTACATTTTTTGTGCCTCAATTGTATACGAGGCGAAAGTGAATTTTGTTACATGACCTTCGAAACATTCGTGTTCCATAAATTCATGGTGATAACTAACAACCCTAACGGGGCGTGTTCACGGGTTAATAACCTCAACATACATGTTTTTAACGTGACTGCTTCTGAGCTTGTTTGTTTTATCTGTGACGTCGATTTTGAGTATATTATTTTGTATGTCTTATTTTTTTTTATCTATGTATTTTTTTTTACATTGGCATGTTAAGAATCAATCAAATCGCCACTTATCCAGTTATTTTGGGATTTTTAGTCTTTCAGACCTTACGAGTAAGCAGAGTGTCAAACACAAAACTTGGTATATACTCTATTTGTATGATTGCGGAGTGTTTTCTGTTTTACTTATAAAACCACTGACACCAAAAGAGTGAGTTCATTAAATACATAATTACAACGTCGTCCGACAGTTCATTTAATTCTAAATACGAAGATAGTTTTTTTAAAACAGGGTTTATTATTAAACGATCCGCCAAAATTCTGCTATGGATTAAAAGACGTTCGAATTGGTTACCTGTTTTAGAGTTGGTAAATTTTTTACATTCAAAGCAACTTTAACGGTTACCACTTCCCAGCAGGTGGGCCGTTGGTTTTTATGCCATTTCCACAGAGAAAAAAAATCAATGGAACAGTAGAACAACATGCAAGGAAACAGATTCTCGAACATTCGGTAATTAACTTTCGCCTCACTACGGGTGTGGTTGTAACTTTGTATAAAACATTGCAATATTACGGTATTTCACACAGTAATTTATGTCTTGTGGGGGTTTGGACATGCACAAATACTTACATAAATACAAACATATTTATTATAGGGTAATCCGGCTCGAAGGACCACTCTATACTTCACTCGTTATCAATTATTTTAATTGTGAAAGTTTGTTACAAAATTGATTTAAATGAAATATGGTAAACGAGTAGACCATATACTAAATAAGCACGGGAATAAGATAAGCATCCGTTTTATTCTGATTTACGTGGGAAAAGTCGAGTGATACGGCTAGTGAAATAAAAAAATGTAAATTTAACTAATAGGATATTTTGAATGGGTGATTAGTGCTCTATTATCACATTGGGTCCTTATTTACGAGATGTCCATATGTATGGCAGAAGAGGACATAAATACAACCTATTCAATGTATAAACTTTTAGATTTTTTTTTATACGTTAATTGCCGTTCAACAGGTCTATTCCCAATATTTGATATACGCAGTTTTTGTCTTCAATTCATATCTTCCTTTAGTTATTTCACTTATCACAAAATAAAAATTTGCACAATTCATAATTTTTTTTTAGAAAAATCACAATTTTTCTTGTAATTATCTTTATCTCATGATATGTCAATGCTTATTTTCTCAATTATTTATTCTACTGTAATTTTGTCTTTGCACCAAAGTTCTTACGTTATAGGCAAACCAATAGCCAAAGATTTCATTTTTACGTCATAAATTGATAAACCGAAGAAAACTAAGACCCACATTATATGCGTACATACAATAAATCTACATTTAGAAATTTAAATTAATCTACATTTTCCAATTAACATTCAGGGATATTAGAAATAGTTTGATTAATACATACTTTTTATTGTTCTCTCCAAAAGATTATGGGGGGGGAAAAACAGCATGGGGTTCTTCAAAAGAGGTTTCTTCAGGGTCGACAACGCACGCGTAATACCTCTGGTATTGCAGGTGTTCATAGGCTACGGTAACTACTTACTATCAGGTGGGCCGTATGCTTGCTTGCCACCTCAATGGTATAAATAAAAATTAATTTAATATTATAAGGATTATTAGACCAATAGTCTAGTGTTACGGCATTCGGGCTAAAGTAGATATTGTCAATTTTTCTTCTGTATATACATATATATACACACACCTTTGATTCCACTCACACATTCACCAGTCACCACACCCAAACCTCCGCAACAACTAGCGCACGCACAATACTGCAATGTTACCACCGCTTACAAATAACCTCTATCGGTAGCCGATGGAGATGACCACCTCTAACCTGGCGCCGGCCACGCCCCGCCTCGCAACGCGTATCAAGACCAGCGACAAAACGTCGCCAGTACAGAACACAGGCTTCCTAAGCGGCCTCCCACGCTCCCTGAGCAACTTAACCGGCCAGAGTCTCCGCAACCTGCGGCAGGCCAGGCAAAACAACAAGGGCCAGCAGGAGAACCAACCGCCCCTCGTCAGACAGAACTCGGACGAGTCCAACAACAAACGGAGGCATGTACACAACAATACTGTACCAATGGTGCCAACCACGTGCTTGGACAACACGCCACCACCGTTGCCGCCGAGATCTATAGAGAGGCCGAAGAGAAACCCGCTCAGTCCGTCGATGACGCCGAGTCCGATCAACCCGTTGGCGCAACCGAAGCCGTCCGGTTCGATATCACACGCCCACAAGCAGTATTACAAGGGCCGGTATTACCCCGAGAAGCCGCAGTTCCCAATGCACCAATCCACGCCGTCCTACAACGAGGAACACCAGAAACAATTCAGGAGGTCGTCGCATTCCCTGGACGGGGACTTAGAAGGGCCCCAACCTAATTCGATTGCGTTGCAAATGAGTTACCCGCTGGTGAATGTGCCGCCGCCGCCTCTGCAGGTAAATTGTCGTGCTTTCAAAGTATACAGGTTGGAATTGAAGTCGTTACCATCCTTTTGAGAGTATGTTCTACTAGACAATGAATGTTTTAACAAAGAAATATGTGTTGGATTATGACGGAAAATTTTGGAACTCTCCATACATCCCCATACCCCATAAATTAAAAGCTGGACGTGCTATTTTGATTTTTAAAAATGGTTCAAATTTTATGGTCATTTATCAACCCATATTCCTTTGAGAACAATATTCAGTTGCACTGGTAGAATATTTATTCCCTTTCAAGGTTGCTAATTATTTGATGTCACCCTGTATAGCGCTGTCTCTTTTACTTACACGTTGATAGAAAGAGACAATACGTTGTTTTTGTCTTAGTTATGTCGATGTGAGACAAAGACGCACATAGTTCTGATATTAATACTTGAATATTTAATTGGTGGTGGTTGGTTCGTTTATAATTACGCTTCTTTTATGTCCCATTTATTTCTATTTTGTTAGGCTCAAGCTTGTTCTTTCAATTTTTATCTTCTGTATAATCATGTCTTGAAGTTGATATACTGGATTTAATTTGTACTCTATGTTCATATTGTATAAATAATAAAACATATATATGTTGATATACACAACAATACACAGCTACACACTATGCACTCAAATGCACCGTAATACAATTAAATTATTAATTAATTAAAATTAATGAATAACGACAAAATTAATACAAACATCAAACTTCACTATACAAAATGTTAATTCAATCATATCAACATAACGGGTCTAAACCTACAACCTCCATCATTCTGGGGCCATAACTCATAACCATTTCGTTACCGCTTCCATAGACACTAGCAGCGAATTTTTCAGGTGCATTCATGTTACGTTTGACATGTTTAGCAACGTATTACATTGTCAGCTACACGAACCGTATTGATCAATTTTATTTGTTGATATGATTCAACCGTCATGATATAATAGGAGAGCAAAACGTATAGTAACTAGTTTCGGGACCATCCAAGACCCTTAGTCTTCAGTGGCCGTTGCTTGAACTACCTTCTTCCATGCTTGCGCTCGCATCCCGGATAATTAATTTATTTGTATTAAAAGGTACATCAAGAGTGTAAATACAGATATTAATGTAAATTGATACACAGGCCCTCTAGTCAAGGGACAAGCGAATTCGTCGATGGAATCGACATTGCTAGCGAGTCCGTGAATTGGTATGAGATATCCGGCGTTGCTATTTCATTCTGTCTCACGGTCTCGCTAGCGATGTTGATTCCATCGACGAATTCGTTTGCCATTTGTCTAGATGCCCAGGTCTTGCGTCTTACATTTACACTAATTACAGATGCACCCAATATTTTCTTAAGACATCGATAATTGGTAATATATAGCAATACCTATATATTGTAGTTACAATATCTATACCTATATTGCCCTAATAACAGATATGTTAAGTATCCAATATATAATATTGTAAAGAAAAACCCGCTGGTAATGAATATACCAGATATCCGGCTGGTATGGGCGATATCGCAATGAGTGGGTATCAATGTCTAGAAGAACTCAATATATAGATATCGGATATTACCAAATATCTAAAGATTTTTTCTTTTTTTTTTATATCAATAATGTACATACACATAAAGCAATTATAAAGATGACTAAAATTCAATCCAGTATATAGACATTGGGGTCGATTCTGGGTCTGATACCGATTTTTCTAAACCTGTCTTTGAAATTTATATTTCAATTTGGTATTACAATGAAATTTCTATTGTAAGCACCAATATGAGCAAATTTTAAAGAACTATATACTTTTTTATATGAACTAATTTTTTTAAATAATTTTAACTTAAAATTATTGTAATTTTAGTTTATGGTTGCATATAAAAAAGATAATTTCACGAAATTATCAAATTTAAATATTATATTAAGACGTAGGTTTTGAGAAATACCGCCACAGAATCGATTCTAGTATTCACTATCTATAGAAATGATTACTGTTTACATATCAATGTACATCATGTATATGTTTTAAAACTGTCAACGTTAATGTCTTAACCTATCGAATTGTGACTAACTTTCTTGTCTATCCGCATGTTGTGCGATTTAGAAGCGACTGGCAGCCGATTACAGTTGCCAATCAGACGGTTGCCATATGCATTTTTTTTTTATAATAATTGTGATATTATTACATTTTACAATTTAATAATTACAATTAAATAATTAATTTTTAACCCCTAAGTTCTATAATTGAATTTTGGATGACAGTTATATATTTTCGTTCTCGATTGGGACTTAAAGCGACGCGATTACAGGTAAATAGTACCGACATACCTGATTATTAATGGCGACGTTTCGACGTGGTTTACACCACGTTGTGATCTTAGTAGGACTGAAGTAAACGGTGTCTTCTGGCAGCCTGCATAAGTTACATTAACTAAGCTGTCAACTGATGTTATAAAAAACTTAAATCGTATAATGTGCGGATGACTTTATTTTCCTATGCAAAGTGTAATGAAATGGGTATAATGAATTGAATTCTTTATATAGAATAGGCACTGAACAACATTCTTCAAATTCAGATTTTAACTCGACTCTTAACAATTTAAGACAACACAGCAAGTTTAAACTACTCCAGGCAACACCATTTTAATCACCTTTTTTTTTCTTTTTATTTCCCTTCATATAAACTGCGTTATATTATAGCTGAACTAGAAAAATTTATAAATAAAATTTGTGTTTCTAAATAATATAATGTTATTTCATTAAATATATTTTGAGGAAAGTTGCTCAGTTGCATTTCGATTTGTTATACCCTTTACGTTGCACTGTATAATTGTATATGCGTGTTTACATACAGACTGACAACAGAACCGGCGTGCCTGTATTGCACATCAGGAGTCGGTCGTCGCCTGAACAGCTAGACCATGAAATGCTTAGACGTAAGTATAATTATATTCATATTTATTTATTCAAATTCAAGTTTTTTTTTATACAACTTAGAATGGCAAACAAGCTGACGGCCCACCTGATGGAAAGTGGTAACCGTCGCCTATAGACATGAGCAGTACCATGCACATAACAGAGTATACTGTTTCACCCATGATACCCCCCATGCGTTGTCATTCCTGAGGACTCAGGTGTTATTCTTCTGTACCCAGTAAATTCACGCCATATCCCACCCTTCAAACCGAAACACAGCCATGCAAACACAACTGCTTCACGGTTGAAACACGAATGGGACAGAGGTACTCAAACAATCAACTTTTGTACAAAATCTACCTCTAATCTGTCTTTCCTCTTCATTTTTATACAACCCTTAGATTTTTCCGCATGTCAGTAAGAAGAACTCGAGGTTACTCCTCTAGTTACAGAGACAAATTTGAATTTTATAATATCTTCTCGTTTCTTGCTTTTGTTTGTTTATTTATTTATTGTACATACCAGTTATAAGAATATGACAGAGGTAATCGAATGTACAAAGGCGAGCTTAACTCTTAGAGTTTTCTTCCAGCAACACGCAAAGTGGAGAGGAGCATCAATGTCAATGTCAAATGTTTATATATTTTTTTTTCAACAAACTGTTTCCTGTTTTTTTTTTTATGTGAGTCCATTAAATTTAGTTCCTTTCCTCTTATACCATATTGTTTTAGTTTAAGCAATAATATTTCATGATCTATAGTATCGATCGCAGAACTCGGATCTAGTAAAAGCCCGACCACTTACATTTTTTGGTATTCTATTATAATTAAAAACAACTTGGTTTATTAATAAGTGGTTTTTTCTTTTATCCGTCAGCGGCTGCCCCGTTACCGATGGGCGTGTCGTCGGAGAAGGAGGCGTGGGGCCGCGGCACGCCGCCCCCCGCGGCCCCCGCACCCCCCGCACCACCCGCACCGCCCGGCACGCCCCCGCCGCCTTACGCACACAACACGCAGGTATGTTACGCACTTACGTAGTAACACATGGTCGCGCTCACTAACATGATGTTAAGGATGTTTTTTTTGATGGATGAAAATGGTATTGTAACCCCGCCTGCGCTAACGGTATACGCTGGCGAAGCACTAGTAAAGGGTGATAGATGAGAATGAAAACAGGCCAGTTAGCCCATCATGATGAATTCATCAGGAATTAACCATGATAGTTTCCAGGGGGAACCGCGAGGAGGTCGACCTGGTTGGGTATATTGCTAGCAATGGGGTTCTCAGTCTCCATTACTAACAATTCCTTTCCCCCGGGAAGGGATTGTTAGTAATGCGGACTATCAGTCCCATTACTATCAACATATATGAGGTCTACCTCCACGTGGTCTCCTGGAAACCATCGTGCTGAATTCCTGGTGTATTCATCACGATGGTCTAACTGACCTGCCTTTTCATTCTCACCTATCACCTCTCACTGGTACCCCCGCCAGTGTAAACTGTTACTTCAGGCGGGGTTACTATTCCATTATCATCAATTGAAAAGAAGGCAGGATTCACAACATTCTCGACATTATATGTCGATCACGATTCGTCATGTTGTATTTATGACTACTTAAAATAAATAAAATTCACGATGTTGTACGCAGCCTTGCGCCGATCCTCAGCGGGCAATCATATCGATGGAAGAGGACGACTCGCCGGCTTCTGTGAGTATCAATTTATATGAAACTTGGCAAACAAGCTGACGTGGTGGAGAGAGGAATTATTCAATATGATGCCTACGGCCACTTTCACTTTCGGCTCGCCACCGACAGAGAGTTCACCCTCATACCCTACAGCCTAAATGGTCGCGTACAACGCGGTTTCAGAGATGTTTTCTTCCACGAACACTCACGTTATGGAATGAGCTCCCTGCCGAGGTTTTCCCGAGAGACTACAGCATGGGGTACTTCAAGGGGGGGGGGGGGTAAAGAGGTTTCTTCAGGATCGGCAACGCGTGCGTAAAACCTCTAGTATTAAATGAATGAATGAATGGTTTATTTTCTTTATTATTTGTTTATTTTCTGAAGACCAATTTTGTGAGAGACAGGTGCTTGCAGTAGGTTTTGAGGAACCTGTGTTACCCGTATGCTTGTTTGCCACAGTCTAACAGTCTCTTATGGATTGTTAGTAAGGACTACCAACTTCATTGCTACCAATATACCCTGTCAAGTCGGCCACCCTGTGATCCCCCCTGGAAACCATTGTGCCTAATTCCAAGTGTTTTCATCATGATGGGCTAACTGACCTACCTTTTCATTCTCACCTATCATATATATTTTTTTATACAACTTAGAATGGCAAACAAGCTGACGGCCCACCTGATGGAAAGTGGTAACCATCGCCTATAGACATGAGCAGTATATCTCACTGGAGTTAGCGTATACCATTAGCGCAAGCAGGGTTACCATTTCATTATCATTTATAAAAAAAAAAACTTGTCCCCTATAGACATAAGCATGGTACACATCACAACAGAAATGGCGTCACTTAATGGACCTTGGAGATGTCACAGTGTATTCTGTAATTGATAAAAAATTGAAAAACTCATCCTATTTTTGGAGTTGGTTAAAAAAGGTAGAATAACAAGAAAGGTGCGCGGTTAAATTTCGTCCAAAGGCATAATACAATATTACAGAATACACTGTGTCCCGTGGCCGTGTGGCCTTTCCTTTTTTTTATACAATTTAGAATGGCAAACAAGCAGATGGCCCACTCGATGGAAAGTGGTAACCGTCACCTATAGCCTTTATAGTCCTTTCCCGTGGGTGTCGTAAGAGCCGACTAAGGGAGGGCGAGGGATGGGCAGCAGCGTTCCTCTTAAAACATCTCAAAAGCCTGACTGCGGTTGTTAATACGCCTGCCAAGCGTGGCAACTAAGGGCAAAACCCCTCCAAGGGGGAGGCTTATGTTCAGCAGTGGACAGTTAAAGGCTGATATTACTTCTCTATGGTCCATTATGCGTTGCCATTTTTAAGGATTATGGTATTATGTCTTTGCATGCAATTTTACCGTCTATTTTTTTTTTGCTGTTCAACCTTTTGTAACCGGCTCCGAAAAAAGGATGAGGTATTCAGTTCAATTGTAGTTTTTTTATATCTGTTGCTTCAAAATTTCATCATTTGTAAACAGATTTAGATTTTTTCTGAAAGATCAACTTATCATATATATAAAGATCAGTCTAATATACTTTCAGATTGGTCCTATATACATTACGTCAAAATCGAATTAGTAGTTTGATTTTGACATCATAATAATCGGTTTTATCACGACTGAAGTTGGTGTTTTTGTGGTACAAAATGTACTTGTAACACACAAGTACATTTTGTACTACAAAAAGAAAAATGTTCCTACTTATAATCCCTACGTTCAAACTGAACTGCTTCTCCAGGATACTTCCACATACTCCGGGCTGTTCTCGAATCTTCGCTCCGTGCGAGAATCCAAAGCTAGAACAGCCGTTTTGCTCAACTGGTTATTAGGAGAAAGGAGGCAAGTGCTTTGAAAATATTTTAAAACTAGCATTTACCAAAATGAATGTGCCACTTTTTACTATTGAAATTTTTTTGATATTAATGACTAAAGTCTGTTAGAAAATTAATAATAATACAAAAAAGGGAATAATAATAGACACATGTTGGTAGATTTTGTTTGGAAGCAATATATACAAATCTTATATGTTTTATTGTTTAACCCTTTGCACTCGAGCGGCGCCGATACGGCGCCCGGCCAATTCGAAGTGGCAACTCGAGCGGCGCTGCTGCGGCGCCCGAGTGTTTTAAAACTTTAAATCGAACTACGCTGCTACGACGCTATGGTCTTTTGTAACTGGATCTCCTTATTTACAATATGTGATAAGATAGTTTTCTCGGAAGTACTTTCGTGGACTAGGCTCTGCTTACATTGTAGCCAAAAAAGGCCTCGAGTGCAAAGGGTTAAAGCATATTTGGAAAATTATATATGTAGGTGGCTGTGTGGTCCCGACATAGAATATGCCATCCCTACCTTTCCTGTGGGTGTCGTAAGAGGCGACTAAGGGTGGGCGAGAGGTGAGCAGCAGCGTCTCTCTTTGGACTTTTTAAAGCCTAACTGCTGTTGTCAATCCGCCTGCTAAGCTTGGCAACTAGTGGCAAAATCCTCCTAGACAGGGGCTTATGTTCAGCTGTGAACATTTAAAGGCTGATATGATGATGGTGATGTACCAGCGACCTCGTTAGAATGATCGAGATGTGTTCACTGACTGGGGTGCTATGTAGCATATGTGTGATCCTATTGCTGGCTTCGGAATGTTATATATATATTCTTTATTGCACTTGTAAGTTACATATAAAATAATGTATTTATAAATGTTGTGAGCAAGGGTGGACTTATCTCTGACAGAGATCTCTTCCAGTCAACCCGATACAGTGGGAAAGCATTTCGTTAGCGGGCAGCTGAAGTGCTACAACTATTAATACATAAATAAATATGCAGTTAAATAAAATATTAAAATATATAATAAAATATTACATAAATACATACACTATAAACTATGTTATTATCTGTTGAGAAGAATCAGCAAGGAAGTCGACAGTTAGTCTCTTTAAATTGTTAATGTACATGATAATTTTACATTAGCATGGATACTGTGACTATTATTAGTATTAAGTTTTATATATATTATTAAATGGAAAATAATCGAACACGAGCAAACCAGTCCCCACAAGCAGCACCCGTTCACGAGTATGACGGAACGGTATAGGTTCTACGACTATAATAATTAATAAACATTTTTGTTGTTGTTGTAATTGTTTGTTGTAAATATACTTGGTTATGAACACACATAGATATAATTCTACAATATGGAATAAGTAAATAAATATGGCGGCGTGTGTTTGCAGGAGCGCCCACGCGGCGCTAGTGCTGGTGTTAACGGACGGCTTCCGCGCGGCCGCCGCCGTCAACAACGCTACGCTGCGCCGCTGGGCCTACGAGATACACTCCACCTTCATCATGCCCAATGCGGTACGTGGTCTGATATTTTTTTCACTGTTCTTCGCGGACCTATCTACCCCACTCTTTCGAGGGGAAGGTATTGTTAGTAATAAGGATTATAAGTTCCATTGCTATCAATTTACCCTGTCAAGTCAACCTTCACGTGATCCCCCTGGAAACCGTCGCGCTGAATTCCGGGCGTATTCATCGCAATGGGCTAACTGCTGACCTGTCTTTTCATCGTCACCTATCATCCTTTACTGGTGTCCCGCCAGCGTATACCGTTAGCGGAGGCGGGGTAACTATTTCATTATCATCCAATAAAGAAAAAGCCTATGGACGCCTACGGCACTAGGGATGTCACGTGCTTGTTGCGACACTGAAGAAACCTTTAATATACCTTTTATACTTACGGCTTTGGTCTCTGGACAAGTTTTAGACGCGACGAAAAAAATAAGGTATGTTTGCCCTGATGATTAAAAAAGGACATTGGAATTCGAGCTGTTTCATTCTCACCCATCATCGTCTCGGTATCTTTAACGCAGACAGGGTTACCATTCCATTTTATCATACATACATACATACATACATATCTGTCACGCCTGTCTCCCATTAGGGTAGGCAGAAACAATGGAACGCCAAGTGCTTCGATTCAAACAAACCTCTTTCACTTCCACATTTATCAATCTTTTCATATACGCTCGCCGGTTACGGGTACTTTATTTTTTATCCATTTTATCATCCATTAAATAGAAAGCTTCCCCGTTGCTAACAATATATCTTATTAGGTTAAACAGCACACAGTGTCATAGGAACCATCGTAGTTTATTCGTAGCTAATTCTGACAGAACTCGAGTTCACTCTCATAAAGTTCGCACTTGTAATATAATATTTTGTTTTAGGTGTTACAACTGAACGGCGTCGACGAGAACATGGCCAACGAAATCGAACATGTTCTAGTTAACGGTAAGTTTTATAAAGATTATATATATATATATATATATATATATATATATATATATATATATATATATATATATATATTTGCTGTATATACTTACGTATATACTTATCACACCTGTCTCCCATTAGGGTAGGAAGAAACGATAGATAATCAAATTAAAAAAATGACGGTATAAAAGTGTTCATAAATAAGTCTATTTGAATCAAGATTAATATTTTATTTAATATTAAAAACTTTCGCCATAAATGTTATGCAGTTATTCCGAATTGGATTTGTATTGCATCTGCAAAGTAACACCTAGTTCAGTAAAAAATGTCAGGACTCAAGACAGACATGAGACTAACCTCTGTGATGAATTTAGGAGCCATCTTCAATAAATGTGTCCCTCTGTCCGATTTCGGTGGACTTTTCAACTGTGCTTTCAACTTCGAGACTCCAGAATAGCGAGTAATATAGACTAAATATTATTAAAAAAAAAATTGTGACCCCTATGAAAATTGCAATAATGTGTACCCCAAGGCCCACAGTCGATCTCCCCGAAATATAAAAGGAATCTTTTATAAAATACTTTGAATTTATTTTAAATATACAGTGAATTTAACAGAGTACAGAAGAATAACACCTTAGTCCTCAGGAATGGCAACGCATGGGGGGTATTTTGGGCGTAATTTGTTATGTCCATGGTACTGCTCATGTTTATAGGAAACGGTTACCACTTTCCATCAGGTGGGCCGTCAGCTTGTTTGCCATTCTAAGTTGCATAAAAAAAACTTGCCGTAGACATGAATTAATGAACACCCGAAACAAAAAAAAAATACACGCATAATAACATAGGAATGTCACTTGCTAAAATTCTCAGATGGGGTTTTTTTTTTTTTATGGGTGAAAATGGTATGGTAACCCCGCCTGCGCTAACGGGATACGCTGGCGGAGCACCAGTGAAGGGTGATAGATGAGAATGAAAACTGGCCAGTTAGCCCATCATGATGAATTCATCAAAAATTAACCATGATAGTTTCCAGGGAGAACCGCGAGGAGGTCGACCTGGTTGGGTATATTGCTAGCAATGGGATTCTCAGTCTCCATTACTAACAATCCCTTTCCCCCCTCTCAGATGGGGTCGTAAGTATACATCTGTTATGTTTGTATCATCAGAATACGACAAAGACGAGATCCTGCGTAACGTGTTCCGCAAGGCGCGGCAGAAGGCAAAGGAGGAGATGACGCAGCAGCTCACCGAGTTCCAAGTCAAGCGGCAAGTGGGGCTCGGCACGCTGTACGGGCCCGACGACCTCATCATAGAGAAGTGTGACGTCGACAAGACACAAGTGAGTGACCGTTGAAGTTAGTGGGGGGAAAAGTATTTTTTTTAATAACACAGAGGTCAAACGAGCATGTGGCTCACCTGATGGTAAGTGACTACCGTCGCCCATGATCACCCACAACACCAAAGGCATTGCAGGTGTGCTGCTGGCCTTTTAAAAATAGGAATATGCTCTTTTCTTGAAGGTTATGTTGAAGAGGTGTGGAGAAGATTCAAGTGAGTGTTGGTTGGGGTTCATACTGAAAAAAGGAGAATGGAACTCTCGTAGTATATTAGGAAATTATAGTGATTTTTTTTTATACAACTTAGAATGGCAAACAAGCTGGCGGTCCACCTGATGGAAAGTGGTAACATGAGCAGTAATGTAATTACTGACGTTAATTCAGTGAAAGAGTGCATTGTAGTAACTGTGGTGGTTGCGGTGCAGGAGGCGGTGGTGGTGGAGCGGCTGATGTGCCAGCGGCTCAGCAGCCTGGCGCAGGGCGCGGCGGGCGCGGCGGGCGCGGGCGGCGCGGGCGGCGCGGCCGGCGTCCCCGCGCCGCCCGCGCCCGCCGCGCAGCCCTCCGGCCCGGACGCACACTCGGCGCTGCTGGCGGCCGTCGCCACCGCCGCCCTCTGTCTACAGTGCAGGTATGCTTCTGAAAAAAAAAACCATAGTACAATACTGCAGCGGCCAGCAACTGAGGCATTGATGGACGAACGTGCAAATGTGGGCAGAGGCGTAGCCGAGGCACACGTACGTGAGTCCATCAATGCCTAGTTGTGGCCAAGGCGTGTATAGTATTTTTTTCAAACAATGCGCGGAAATCAAAAACACAATTTTACTTTTTAAGTTTAATGACGAAAAACGAAGAATAATAATTTTTCACGCGCCATAATGTTCCTTTGTTTTTTTGTTCAATAAACAGCTTTCTATTTGCAAGTCAGTTTGAAATTTAAATAAAACCTTGTATTAGTTACCTCCTTGGTAGCCATGTTCCGAAGTAAAAGGTCATTCCATTTTTAAATTACAGGATAGATATGATTATGACAGATTGATGTAATTTATTTGGCCGCAAAACACGACAGATATGGATTTTCATACAACTTTTGCCGGCCGCTGCCCGCATGTATCTAGACAGTACAGCAATTTTGATTTATCTTGAAGAAGATTGTCAAAATAATGCTCACATTTCCAAGCATGTTTGAGAAAAATACATAAATACATGTTTGAGTTTATCTTTTGTGGAGCCATATCTATGTTCATACGTGCAGTGCAATAACATTTTTGGTTTACTAAGATGTGTAATAATTTAGCACTGCACGTATTAGGTCAATGTATCGCCCCACTAGTTTTATATTAATTTCCTATATTTATATTTAGTATATAAGATCATTTTTATTTCTTAATTTTGTCAGTTACAACGGAAACATTGGAAATATACATTTCCACAAACATCGTCGTCTCAATACAGCCCGCAACATCTTTCATACTTTTTGTAATATATAACGATACTAGGTATAGAAAAAACGGTAGCTTCACTGAAATCATAAAATTAATATGGGCACAATATGAAGTAAATAAATAAATTTGTATATTTTAATTAGTTTTATTTGGATACATAATCGAATTCGAATATCGAGGCTTTTCTTTGAGGTCCTCGAAATGTGTCTCGATCTATTTCTGCTCTCAGCCGAGTGAAAGCATTCCATCATAGATTGCTGTATAGCCATTTTGATGAGGTCTATCGCATTGGTGATCGCGCGTTGATGATGGGTGAAGAATAATAATATACAAAAACATCTATCCTTATATTTAGTCTGTTAAAACAATGTATATTTACTATATTTATATCTGAAATTACGTCATTATGACGAGGATATTATGTTTAATTGGCCACACAACATACAGGACAATAGCTGTTTTTTAACATGAATAGAACAATACGGGGAAATACCAGTGGCCCAACACTGTTGTCTATAACATGTCCCGATTGTTAGTAATATACCCTGTCAGATCGACCTCCAAGCGGTTCCTCCAGGGAACCATTTGGGTTATTTCTTTATGAATTTGTCGCTATGGGCCAATTGATCTGTTTTCATTCTCTATCAGTACTCGCTGGTTCCGATAGCGTAAGCGGGGTTACCATGTCATTATCGCCCATTAAAAAAAATACATATAGGTATTTTTGCTGTGAAAATTACTTGATAGTATATTTCATTGTCAAAACACTTGAAATATGTCAATAATAAAATATATTTATACTGGTTATCAAAATGGTGGCAAAAGGAAATGAGTGAGTAATGCGATGAGGAAAATTAAAGACAGTGTGTACTGGTGTTGGTACAAATGTTCAACGCTGTTTACTACATACATACTAAAGTTATAATTAAATATTCAGTTTATATAACGTTCGAATTGGATTGTAGTGTACATAGTGACGTGGATTTATGTAGCTGTTATGTAAAGGATTTTAGTGACCTCTCCAAAAACTTAGTGTTATGTTTGTATTTATTTATTTATTTATTTATTTATAAATTACTTACCACACTTAGTCTTCCAAAACGTGTAGTGTGCTATAGGTTTATTTTACAAACTTAAAAATTTTGTACAACATTTTAAAAATATATCTATTTTGTCATTAAATATGTCAATATCTGGCTGCTGAGCAATAAGAGAATTGAGCAGAGAAATAGCCTGATAAGTGGGAGCAAACTAAACATTAATATATATATATAGTTTATAAGATCTGTGAAGTGTGTGAGTGAGTTTGTTTATTGGCACTTTAACGCCTAAATTGATCGCTATGGATTTTGATAAATAATTATACAAGTTTATATATGCATAGTATTTGGCATGGAAAGAATATAGGTTACTTTTCAAACGAATTAAAAATAAATTAAGGCGGAACTTAATCAGGTTGTATTTTTTTTATGTTTGTTACCTTATAACTTTGTCTGTATAAAACCGATTTGAAAAAACTTTTTTTTTTTTATCTGGAAGGATATACTTACAGATTGGTGCCATAGAAATTTTATCGAAATCGGTTCACAAGTTTAATTTTTATAATAATTGGTTTTGTTACGATTTTTTTCTTAATGGATGATAATGGAATGGTAACCCCGCCTGCGCTAACGGTATACGCTGGCGTAGCACCAGTGAGGGATAATAGTTGGGAATGATAAAACCAGGTCAGTTAGCCCGTCGTGATGAATACACTTGAAATTCAGCACGATGGTTTTCAGGGGGAACTACCGGGAGGTCGACCTGGTATATTACCAGTACCTGGTATATTGCTAGCAATTGTTAGCAATAGTCTCCATTGCTAACAATTCCTTTTCCCTGTTTTGTTACGATTGAAGTTGGATTATGACCAAACTTTGGTATTATTAAATTTGGACCAATCTTTAAGTATATCCTTTCAAATAATAATAAAAAAAAATACCAAATCGGTTTACAACTGACGGAGTTATGAGGTAAAAAACATTCAAAAACTACAAGCGAATTGAAAACCTTTTTCTTTTTGAAGTCTAATGAAAATATTGTCCTATACTTTTTGTTTTTAACAAGGTCCATAGAGCCTGTTTCAGTATTTACCAACCGCATTATGAAATACAATAAGAAATAAATAAATAAATTAACATCCAATCTAATATATAAAATTCTCGTGTCGCGGTGTTTGTTACCAAACTCCTCCGAAACGGCTTCACCGATTTTTATGAAATTTTGTGTGCGTATTGGGTAGGTCTGAGAATCGGCCAACATCTATTTTTCATACCCCTCAATGATAAGCGTGACCTACCTCTAAATATATTTTTTTTATTTTTTTGACTAAATTTTTTGTTTTTATTATATTATGATTTAGCATTGAAAAATACATACAAATTCAAATTTTCATGCTTTTACGATCAACCCCTGTTCTTTAATCGCGATTTTTATATGCCTCAATAGGCTTGCAAGATGGCAATCAAATATAATAATTGTAGTACGAGAAATTTTCATGTATAGTTCTAGAAATAATGTATATGGTAAAACAACGTTTGCTGAGTCAGCTAGTAGTTTTATAAGAAATCACGCGCAGTGTCCTCAATTTATTTATAAAGTGTTAAGAAGTAAGTGTTGAGACAATGAAAACAGAAAATATAGTGGTTATAACGGAAGAGGAGGCGAGAGAAGTGCGGCTGAAGTGGTGGCAGTCGCCGAGGAGCAAAAAGAAGCCCAAAGTGAAGCTGGCTAAGGTCAAGCAGGCCAAGTGAGTTGGAATGAAAATGTTTATTGCCACCGTGTTTTGTTTGCAAGGAGAATATTCTTAATTCATCCGTTTTTTTATCTGTTATGTCATGTGATTATTTCGCCGTAAGCAGGGAAATAGGGTTATCTAAGTTAGTTAGTTTTTAGGTTAGTTAACTTTTTACTAACTATCTTTATTCAATCCCGATCCTTTCGTCCTAATAGGGTGTAATCCACCTAATAGGGTGGATAGGCGGGAAGGGATTGTTAATAATGGGGTCTAACAGCCCAATTGCTAACAATATACTCTTATCAGGTCGACCTCCACGTGGTTCCCCCTGGAAACCATCGTGGTTTCAGGGGGAACCACGGGGAACATGGGGAATAACTTCTCTTTCATTTATTTGCAATACAAAAAAGATAGATATATGTTAGCGGTTACGAGTTGTCATCACATTTTGTTTGTCCAATAACCTTATTAAATGACAAACCTCTAATAAACCTATTTTAACTATTAAACTGTTTTGTCTCTTTCTTTTACACTTAATTCCCAATTTGAAAGAAAGGGACGAAACAGTGTAAAGTTAGATTTGAAGGTTTTCGTTTTTATAAAAGGGTGAGTGTTCTATTACTCTGTTGGATTTTATTTCTGAAATTGTTACTAAACGTTTTTGATAGAGAAATGCGGTATTACCCTGTTTATAAGTTTTTTTTTATACAACTTAGAATGGCAAACAAGCTGACGGCCCACTTGATGGGCAGTGGTAACCGTCGCCTATAGATATAAACAGCACCATGGACATAACAGAGTACACTGCTTCGCCCATGATACCCCCCATGCGTTGTCATTCCTGAGGAGTCAGATATTATTCCTTTGTACCCTGTAAATTCACTGCCATATCCCTTTAAACCGAAACACAGCCATGCAAACACAACTGCTTCACGGTTGAAACACGAATGGGACAGAGGTACTCAAGCAATCGACTTTTGTACAAAGTCTCCCTCTGGTTTCTTCATGTCTTTAGTGTTGATATAATCAATATGAGGATTATGTCATAATTGAAGCTGCCATTTTTCATTGCGGAGAAAAAAATTGCATCTATTTTCAATATGCGTTGTGTCTACGAAACATCTAGTTGTTGGTCGGTCTGTTTTGTTACCCGATTACGGTCAAGCAAAAAGTAGGGTTATGATTTTGACCGGTATTTATATAACATACCCATCAACATATATCATGTGTCATGTATTTATATCAGACATGTAGGTATGTATGTATGTTCGTTCATCTATTCTGATATAACTTTTAAATTATTTATTATACTTTGAAAAATAAGGTATTTGCCAAAGTATTATAAAAAGTGGCCGGCAGCACACCTGCAATGCCGCTGGTGTTGTGGGTGATCACGGGCGGCGGTAGTCACTAACCATCAAGTGAGCCGCATGCTCGTTTGCCGCCTGTGTTGTAAAAAAAAAAAATCCAATTGAAGTTGCTGTTTTTACGGAGCAAAAAGTATTTGTGTCAAATATTTGTTGTAAATGTTGTGTGGTTTTATTTTTCATAAAAGGAATAGTGTTCGGGTGTTATTATTTTATTCTTGACTAGCTATCCGCCCTGGCGTCGCACGGGTAGATAGATAGGCAGATAAATTAATATTTTGTATTAGTTTTAATAGGACAATTTTTTATATTTTGAATTAGGTTATTGTAATTTTCATAGGGATCTCTAATTTTTTTTGAAAATAGTAATATGTAGCCTATATTACTCGCTGATAATGTAGTTTTCTACAGCTGAAAGAATTTTTAAAATCAGTTGGGTACTTTTTGAGTTAATCCATTACAAACAAACATACCAAATTCAAATCTTTCCTTTCTATAATATTAGTATGGATTATTGAAAAGTTCTATAGACTCATCATAGATTCGTTATTTACTTATTAGATCCAAGCATGAACTTGACGTGTTTCATTCACAGTGCTACGGCTGTAGCAGCGGCGGTGGGCGGCTCCAGACCCTCCTTTCTCCAGCGAGATAAAGTCTACAAGCAGAAGGTGAAGCAGTTGACCAAGCAGCATCTCAACCCGGTGAGTTATGAAGTAACTAACTCACAGACAGACTCTATACTTAAAGGTGTCATCGTCATATTTTATTCGTTAACTATCAACTGGTGTACATAGGGGGAATGGAATTGTTAGTAATGGGGTCTGACCCATTGCTAGCAGTACACCCTATCATGTCGACCTCCACGCGGTTACCCCTGGAAACTATCGTGGTTAGTTCTAGTGGAATGCATCGTCACCTATTATCCCTCCCTGGTGTCTCGCCAGCGTATACCGATAGGGCGAGCTTGCCATACCATTATCACCCATTGTTTGATACAATATTAATAAATACTCCGGTTGGTGCAGTAATAGTCCTTAATATATTTAACAGTTTTAGTTTTACTTTATATATATATATATATATATATATATATATATATATATATATATATATATATATATATATATATATATATATATATATATATATATATATATATATATATATATTATCATAAGGTTTACAACGTAACAATAAGACAGTTTTGTAGTAGTCAAGTGTAGTGTCACACAGAGGGCGTCTCCACCGAGCAATTAATATACAATTTGCTGGGTAGTATGGTGACCGTTCCGTTGTAATAATTTACACGGCCCACCCACTACGTTTATGCCGGTCCGCGATTGTCTAGGCATGTATTAGTGTTAACACCCATTAAAGAAAAACTGTTGAATATAAGCCTTTCCCTATAAGGAGAGTTTTGCTAGTTGTTGTCACGCTTGACAGGCTGGTTGGTAACCGTAGGCTTTTAGAGATCTTTTAAAGAGGGACGTTGCTGCTCAGCCAATCTAAATCAGTAAATTCAAATTGCGCAGAATTTTCATAAATAAATATTTTTACAATTTGAACACCTTTGTAATATTTTAAAATTACAATTGCAAGTAGTTTTTTCTTATAATAACTGTTTTTTTTATTTATATACTGTTTTTATTTAATAACTATGTATACCTATTTAATTACAATACTCATAAAACTAATACATTTTACAGTATCACAAAAAAAAATTAATAATCAGTCCCATTCATGATCCCATTCATGATTTAATTCATTAATAAGTTAATATAATATATAATTAGTTATGTAATAATTTGTAGACTCAATTATTGTAAAACATGGCGTTCTATAAATGTAACAATATTTATATGTACTTATGTTTTGAAAAATAAATTATCGATTCATAGATAAGATCGTTTTAGTGGGGGGGGGGAGGTACTGTTTATTGATTATATATTATTTGACTTGTACTACGTTTATTAGAACCTTTCTTATATTTTAATCTTAAATTTCTCCCATGTACAGGCATTGTGTATTTACAATTATGTGAGATAATGTGTGCTTATAATAATGTGCGTGCATGCGTGCGTGCGTACGTGCGTGCGTGCGTGCGTGCGTGCGGGCGCGCGCGCATCGTGCCTCCCACCAAATTGTTTATAATTACTCCTCTCCATTCAAAGGTTGCCTGGAAGAGATCGCTCTTAGCGATAAGGCCGCCCATTGTTTTCTCACTGTGATTATTTCTTGTAATTATTTATATCTAGAATAAGTTTACTATTGTAATCTTTTAGAGGAAACAATAAAGAGTATCTATCTATCTATCTGTAAAACTTTTAACAATAAAACACTTTGTTACAGTTCGTGGTCCGCGGTCACCACTTGCAGCTGCAAGCGCTGACGTCGGTCGCGCACTGCCACCACTGCGACAACGTCATCTGGGGCCTGGCGCCGCAGGCTTACGTGTGCACGTGTATGTAACCAATAATAAGTATTGTGCGACAATTCCTTCAAATATACTAGCGGAAAAAATTAAGGGATTTAAAAAAGGCTAAATTTTAGTGATTTTTCAAATCATGTTGTTACCACTTTCCATCAGGTGGGCCGTCAGCTTGTTTGCCATTCTAAGTTGCATAAAAAGAAAAACCTGTTTTTGGCTAATCATTTGTTAGGAGACCTATCTATATAATGCAATATGATTTCGATGATTAATTGTTTTTTTTTTTTTTATTGGATGATAATGGAATGGTAACCTCGCTTGCGCTATCGGTATACACTGGTAGGGCACTAGTGAGGGGTGTTAGATGAGCATGAAAGCAGGTCAGTTAGTCCATCGTGACTAATACAACAAGTATTAATCACGATGGTTTTCAGGGGGAACCGCGTGGAGGTCGACCTGACAAGGCTTGCTAGCAAAGGAGCCATTAGTCTCCATTACTAACAATCCCTTTCCCCCCATGATTAATTGTTTGTATCGTCCCGGGCAGACTGCGAGCTGCGCGTGCACCGCGCGTGCGCCAAGTCGGTGGAGGAGGGCTGCTGCCTCGACGGCGAGCACCACAACAACCGCATCTCGCGCTTCATGGAGCGCATACACCCCAACAACCAGCACCAGCCCAGCAGTCAGTACCGCTGCCACTCTCCTACGTACTTACACACACACACGCACACGCACACACACAGGACAATAAAATGGAATGGTAACCTCGCCCCCGCTATCGGTATACACTAGCGGGGCACCAGTGAGGGGATGATAGGTGAGGATGAAGCCAGGTCAGTTAGCCCAACGTGACGAATTCAACAAAGATTGACCATTATGACTGTCAGACTATGAACTAAGAATCTTTTTCCACCATGATGATGGGATAAGATGATTGAGAGATGATAGATGAGAACGAAGTTGTCTCATGCATGAATAGGAACAAGACAGCGGACGTAGTTACCTCGTTCCGTCTCATGGACTCACTGGTGATAGCGGTTCTAGCAGTAGATTCGATTACCACCTGTCTAGGAAGCAGGTTAGTTGGTTTATTGTGGCTAATCACAAAAGTTAAGCATGATGATTTTTAAAGGATGTCGACCTGATGTTTCTGATAAAAGTAACTTGACTCCATTACTAAGATCCTCTTCTACAAGGGAGATCAGTCTCTGGTCCCATTACAGAATGATCTATCTTTGTTTATGTGCCATCCATAGACGCAGGATAGATGGTTTGTTAAATACAAGCAATTCATGTTATTAATCATTTCTGCAGATCAAGATTCAGGCGACAAGAAATTTCGGAAGGCGTCAGCAAACGCGCATTTTATCAACAGTAAGTCTGTCTGTACCATTATTATTTAAACACGTATAGGAGTATGTGTTATATATATATATTATGTCCACACACTTAACTATAGTCAATATATATATGTACACACACGCACGTAGCCGCACATATACGTTAGATGCACACGAAAACGCACGCACGCACGCAAGTAAGCACGCACAAGCACACGCACGCACGCACGCACGCAGATTCACAAACATTCATTCATATTCATATTTACAAACATTTACACGCACAAAGAGAAGAGTTCAGTAGTTTAGAAACAAAATTATTGTGGTTTTGCCGCAATTAGTCGGTTATTTTGTGTTAAATTTTAGATATTTTTTTTTTGATGGGTGAAAATGGTATGGTAACCCCGCCTGCGCTAACGGGATACGCTGGCGGAGCACCAGTGAAGGGTGATAGATGAGAATGAAAACAGGCCAGTTAGCCCATCATGATGAATTCATCAGGAATTAACCATGATAGTTTCCAGGGAGAACCGCGAGGAGGTCGACCTGGTTGGGTATATTGCTAGCAATGGAATTCTCAGTCTCCATTACTAACAATCCCTTTCCCCCCTATAATTTTAGATATTTAATATGTGGATTTGTTTCACAGTGGAGCGGAGCTTTCGCAAGATGGAAGATGAACCGTACTGGGACCAGACGCTGACTCCGGCCACCGCGCAAGGTACGTGTAGTTATAAGGCACTATTTAATAATTATTATTACAAAGTATACACAAAGTTGCTCCCCGCCGTCTGTACGCTTAGATCCATAAAACTATGTAACTGATTATAATGCAGTTTTCATCAATAAATAGACTGATTCAAGAGGAATATTTACATGTATAATTTAATATTGTTCTGTATTAATTAGTTGAAATATGACGTTAATTGTTCAAAGTTCAAATTAACATGTTAAAAGAAATCAAGTCAACTAAGAGCGTTTGATTAAAATACTGAAATACAACTATTAAAAAATGTATGATGCAATCGTTTCTCTTCTTAGGACTAGAAAAAAGTCAGCGGTAGCATTCTATATTATACAGCTTTCTTTAACCATTCCAATGTTAAAGTTTTTCTATTTTACGGCATGTTGACCGTCAGATAGTTTGCTATTCTAAAAAAAAAAAAAACAAGGTTTTGATTATTTTAAACAAGATTTTAACACGAGAACGTTTGTATATTTGTTAATATTATTGATTTTGCGATATAATTATAAAATGGTTTTTATCTTACAACTTATTCAACACTTCTCTTTCATTTATTTGCAATATAAAAAAGATAGATATATGTTAGCGGTTACGAGTCGTCATCACGTTTTGTTTGTCCAATAACCTCCTTATTAAATGACAAACCTTCTAATAGACCTATTTTAACTATTAAACTGTTTTGTCTCTTTCTTTTACACTTAATTCCCAATTTGAGAGAGAGGGACAAAACAGTGTAATAGATTTGAAGATTTCAGTTTTTATAAAAAGGTAAGTGTTCTATTACTCTGTTGGATTTTATTTCTGAAATAGTTACTAAACGTTTTTGATAGAGAAATGCGGTATTGCCCTGTCTTTAGGATTTTTTTATACAACTTAGAATGGCAAACAAGCTGACGGCCCACCTGATGGACAGTGGTAACCGTCGCCTATAAATATAAACAGTATCATGGACATAACAGTGTACACTGCTTCGCCCATGATACCCCCATGCGTTGCCATTCCTGAGGACTCAGATATTATTCCTCTATACCTTGTAAATTCACTGTCATATCCCACTCTTCAAATCGAAACACAGCCATGCAAACACAACTGTTTCACGGTTGAAACATGAATGGGACAGAGGTGGCCAAGCAAACGACTTTGTACAGTCTCCTTCTGGTGAGTGGTACATTCTGATCACAACTTTTCGTATTTAATATAATTCTCTCTTTTCATTTAAGAGTTTCGATTTGTCGGTACAAATAATTCATGCATTCTTTCCCAGCCTGCCAGCTAGCCAGCTAGCTCTATTCCAGCCCATATCTTTGACCTTCCCTGTACGACATGACACCTAATGTTTCTCTTTACCTAATATCATTATATCCGGGGGGAAAGGGATTGTTCGTAATGGAGACTGAGAATTCGATTGCTAGCAATATACCCAACCAGGTCGACCTCCTCGCGGTTCCCCATTGGAAGCTATCATGGTTAATTCCTGATGAATTCATCATGATGGACTAGCTGGCTTGTTTTCATTCTCATCGATCATCCTTCACTTGTGCTCCACCAGTGTATCCCGTTAGCGCAGGCGGGGTTACCATACCATTTTCACCCATCAAAAAAAAAAATCATTATATTCGGGGGGAAAGAGATTGTTAGTAATGGGGTTTAACTACCCCATTGCTAGCAATATACTCAACCAGGTCGAGCTTCTCGCTGTTCTCCTTGGAAACTATCATGGTTAATTCTAGTGCAATTCATCACGATGGGCTAACTGACCTGCTTTCATCGTCACCTATCACCCCTCGCTGGTGCCCCGCTAGCGTATACCGTTAGCGCAGGCGGGGTTGCCATTCCATTATCATGCATTAAAAAAATCATTATATTCACCCATATTCAACGATAAAGAGGTTATGATTTTTCATTTGATTTTGTTATGTTTTATCTGTTTTACATTGTCAGTCTATTTTATAACGTATGATCTATTTACCCGTGCGATGCCGGGGCGGATCGCTTGTATGTATTACATGAGCGCGCGTGGTCAACACGCACCTCGATGGCCGACTATAAATAGCTTTCAATTGTATTTCAGCGGCCGGAACCATTAGTTGTAGTGGGATACATACCTACAGTGTTATTGAATTATATATATGTTGCGTTATATTGCATATTTTATAGTTCAGTTTTCATTGAATACTTTTTTAAGCTGTGTTTTTTTTTTGTCAGATTATGCTTTTTTTTCTGACAAATTTGTCAGATTGTTTGCTTTTCATATAAAAATAATTTCAATATTAAATTTAGACTAAACTTTAAGTAAAGAAGTTGGTGTTGGTTGTTGGTTTCATTATGATTATACAATCATATATATATATATATATATATATATATATATATATATAGCATACGGCCCACCTGATGGTAAGCGGTTACCGTAGCTTATGAATACCTGCATTACGCGCGCGGTGCTGACCCCGAAGGAACCTCTATCCCTTATTTAATAATAATAAATTTATTGCCATTTTTTACAAATATGATACAGAAATAATAATGTACATATGTAATGTACATAGATTAATAAATAAATAAATAAATTGTGCAGTAATCGTATGCCTGGCAATAGGTACAAACTCAGCTTTTGCTGTACTGATGCGCGTTCAGAGCTGATTTTCAGTTTGCACCTACACGGGGCGCCGTTTCATTATCAATTGTCATTTTTGAAGAGCCCCATACTGTAATCTCTTGAAGAAAATTATTTATTATTTAGACATTTATTTATTTATCTATACATTATTGATGGTTTAATGTTTTTTTTTATGCAACCTTTGAATGGCAAACAAGCTGACGGCCCACCTGATGGAAAGTGGTAACCGTCGCCTATAGACATGAGCAGTACCATGGACATAACAGAGTATACTGTTTCGCCCGTGATACCCCCCATGCGTTGCCATTCCTGAGGACTCAGGTGTTATTCCTCCGTACGCAGTAAATTCACGCCATATCCCACCCTTCAAACCGAAACACCGCCGAGGACGTAATTAAACTTTTGTGTAAGTAGATAACTTAATGCTTTTTTTTTTATAAATTACAACTCTGCGAATCTGTGGGTCGTACTTAATAACGAAAAAAGAAAAAAATAATAATATTTAGGTATTGTCAGTTTTTTCTTTTTAAAATTTGAAACTAATGTATAAGAATCCAAGCCTTGTTAGTGAAAGCGTTGATGTTGTATCGAGAAATATATATTGTAGTATGCATTCATGTTATTTATCAAATGTCATTTATTTTTATTTAAAACTTATCTCGAATACGCGTGACTCACGCGAATTATCAATTCATCAACGTATCCAACGCACTATACTATATAAAAGCGTAACGAAATGCGCCCTTACAAATCTCTAATCGTTTACCAAACAAACACCCCTGTTACGTTTCAGCTTTCAGCTTTCAGTACGACGCGCCGTCCCGAGTCGCGCGCCCGTATCTCGCGACCGTTTCGATATATCGGTATTTTATCACAATATCGACTCGCTATCGAGTACAAATAGTGACGTTGCCCAATTCAAAAGTCGAACGCGAATGAAATATTTCGATTCGAAATTCAAAAAGTTAATTTTAAAGTGCAGTGTGAAAAAATTGTGACTTATTTTTTTATACGTAAGTTTTTTTTTTTATTAATATGGAGAGTTTATTTTGGTTTAAAATAATTATTTGAGTAAGTGTTAAAAATATAGTTTTTTGAATCTATATGGTTAGTATGACGTTAAACATTACGTGTTATTGGTTCGAATCATTTTGAAATTTTTTTGCTAGTAAACAAAATTTTTAAATAGTTCAGGATTATACATTCTAATTTGAGTTCTACTATGTATATATACATATATTAAAAATAAGAATTAACTAAGAGTCGGATCTTTGAAGTAAATATGTATTTAAGTTGAAATCACCTTTCAAGGATAAGTTCGTCGTAATTTTTTTGTATTGTGCAATATAAGTATTTTATTTTTCTATTAATACAATATTGTTACAAACAAACAAAACCTATGTAGAGATGAACTTCGACCAGTTCTTTTCACATTACAATTTGTATCCCGAAAACTATTGTAATAAAAAATAAATAAAGAAGAGTTTAAAAAGTAATCTTAAATATTGCTCCAACTTTACACTTTCGTCGTATTAAAAGTTTTGCATGAAATAATTTAACAATATTCAGTTGTTTTTGTAAAATTGATGAGATCGTCACTATCTAGCGGCTTATAGAACTCAAAGGTCGTAGGTTCGAATCTGACCGACAATTTTTGCATATCAATTATATTATTTTATTTAATAATATTATAAATATCGTTAATATATTTAGTAGTAGCCTGCCAAAGATATTAGAAGCGGCTCAGACGTATCTGGAGTCGAGTTAAATACCTTTATTATAATTTAATATGTTAGCACACTTGGTTTATAACATTGATTTGGCTTTTGCTGTCATAATGTTGTAATAATTTTTAATGAATAAATAAATAAATTTTTAACTATCACGTCGGCTTCCATGCGATTCCACAAGAAAACTATCGTGGTTAATGTCGAATTTGTCACGATGAGGTAACTGATCTGCCCTTTTTTCTCTCGCTGGTGCCCCGACAGCGTATTCCGCTAGCGTAGCCATTTTTACCCATAAAAAACCGTCAGCTTGTTTGCAATTTCTAGTTTGCATAAAAAAATCCTATAAACAGCGCGAATACTATATGATATGTTGAAATCGATTCAATGGTTCAATTGTCTTTATACGAGCTTACATCGGTACGATGGAGGACTTGAAACTTGACGATTTTGTTACAAACCATTATTTATTTTATGTCGTAATGAATAAAGATGAAATTGGGATGACGAGTGAAGTAAATGATAGTATCTATATATTTTTCAATGTATAATTGTGATTTGTGGTGTTAGTGTTCCGTCCGGTATTATAATATATAATTAATCTGTGTCGAAACTTATAAGCATGTCTG